CGGATGTTAGCTCAGGGCCAATTTCCCTCAAAAATAAAATCAAATAAGGAGAGACATTTATATATGCCATATTTTCCTACGTATGATCATTACTTTTAAATAAATTTTAGTTTTAACATTTCTATGTAGGAAACCATTTCAAGATTTAATCCTTTAAACAATAATGGACATACAACTGTACACCATAAAAAATGTACCAATCTCTTTCTAACAAAAAAGACAATGGGCATTCTTGTTTCTGCCTCCGTTATATCTACCCTGGAAATATTTTTAGGAAGGAGTAGCATATTACACTACCTTAGGGGTTTGCAATTAAGCCCAGAGATAAACTAGGAATTCCAAAGATTTACACAAGCTCTGACCTGATTCCTCATATCAATGAAAAGAGAAATTCAAGTGCCTTTTCCCACATCCATTAAAATAGAATTCAGGGGCTGGCCTGGTGGCATAGCGGTTAAGTTCACTTTGCTCTGCTTCGGTGCTCTGGGGTTCGCATGTTTGGATCTCAGGTGTGGACCCAGCACCCCTCATCAAGCCAGGCTGTGGCAGCATCCCACATAAAATGGAGGAAGATGGGCACAGACGGTAGCTCAGCTACAATCTTCCACTCACACACACACACACACACACAAAAACAATAAGAAAATAAATAAAATTCATTTGCCTTAGGAATAGTATAGCCTTTTAAATGTCAAAGTTCTCTAGGAACATGGACACACAAAACTGATGTGAACATGGAAAATGCACCTGACAAATAAAAATGGCAAGTAATAGGAGATATTGGAGTATACGAGGAAGCCATTTTGGGTAAACCTAATTCGGCCTGACCTCCTCTTTCCAAAAGGGCCTGACTGTGGCCGTTGAGCATGCATTGTACATCTGCTTTAGATATTCCCATGGCAAGAACAAAGGCCCTTGAGATAAAGGTGCAACTTCTCTTCCCCTCCCAACGTTGGCATTTCTTTAAGGATTAAGCATCTTTCCTTAGGCTAGGAACTGATTGTGGTGCCCGCCTGTGACTGCCCAGCTCAAGACAATAGACTTGCTCCCTGCTACCCCCTCCAAACACAGCAGGTAATGGCTGTGCCCACAGGGCAATCTTGTGACTGCTGTGGGAGGGACATTTCAATCATATGTGAAACACCCTCTTTGAGGGTATATAACCACGCTGTGTAGCCCCACTTCTTTGCAGTGCTCTGTTCCTTTGTGGAAAGACTCTCCTGGGTTATAATCCTCAGATTTCAGCTCAGAATAAACTCACCCAAATTTTCATTTATAGATTGGTTATTTTCGTCGACACACCTGAGAACTGAAATACACCCATCTCACCTCTTGAGGTTCTCTTGTCTAAATGGAAGAAAATTGTTTCCACAATTGTCTTGCCTTGCTCACATCGTATCTCTGACATTACATTTCCAAAGCCAAGTGCAAATGGAAACTAGAATCAGAGGATCGCAATCTTCAACTGATCAAGGAATCCAAGGACAGAAACAGGAATATTCGAATCAGCTCATAGAAGCAGCCTGCTGGCCTGCAGTTCACAAGGAAACCCACACTCAGAAAGGGACCATATTCCCAAACTGGAGGTGTAGACTCTCGCCACTGAGACAGAACCCATGGAGAGGGTCAGTCCCTGGGGAAGGGGGGGGACACCTGAGCAGCCACAGGGATGAACTCTGGGAGCCCCACGCACCCTCCCTCTCCTGTGAGCATGGAAACACTGCCTCCCTCAGACTCCCACTCTCACACGTGAGGATACTCTCAGCTGGATTCAGTTTAAGCTTCTGACACACATGAACTCCAAATTCATGAACCCTTTGTCCACAGGATGGAACACCTGATCTTCACAGACTTCCTCACTGTGCAGATTACACTCTCAGTGCACCTACAGTGTGGGTGCAAAACTCAAACGATGTCTAAAATGTCCAGGCCTAAGAACCACAACCACAACCTCAGACAGGGCATCACTCCCCACCCCATGAGCACGTGCACCCCCAGCTGTCCAGGGCTCTGCAGCTCCTCTCAGGAGAAAGGCTCCTTCCATGGGGGTATGAGCAGGAGGACACCTGCAGAGGGAGGCTCCCCAGGAAGGACAACAGGGCCTGCAAGGCCTTCCCTCTGCAGGCTCAAGGGGGCCTTAGCTTGAGTCTTGGACTGAGGGCCTCTGCTCCCCACTGGAGATGCTCTGCAACATCATTGTTATTTTAAATCAAACAAGCCCAGTGTTGGAATAATCCAGCAAAATCACTTAAACCCAGTCCTTCCATGGAAAATAGGGAAGAAAAGTATAAGGTATTTCTACCACTTCAACTAGAAAACCTCACATATCTATTCCATTCAGCAAAATAATGTCAGTTGATTATTACTGTTAACTGAGTGAGGGCTCGCCACCTGATGCGCACAGAAGCTGAGACCAGGGCACACCAGGCTTTGAAAGAAGGAACAGTTGATCCATTGGCAAGGATACAGGAGGACAGGCTCTCAACTCCGTCTCCCTCATCCAAAGCGTGGGCTGAGGCTTAAGGGAGCAGGGAGGGCCGGCTGGGATGCAAAGACCTGGCAGGGTGAGGTCTGACTGGCAGATCAAAACTCTCCCTTCCGCACAGGCTCCTGGCTGGCTGCCTCCTGTGACAAAGAGCTTTAAGGTCCTGTTGTTAAGATGGGGTTAGGGATGGGCAGCTGGCAGGAAATGCACCATAAACAAGGGTGAAGTTGTCATGCAGATTCAACTCATTGCCTTCTCCACTGGTAAGAGTTTCTAGAGATCTAGAGTCATCCTGCCCTCCCTGGCACACAGAGGGAGGCACCCTTACAAAGGGACGTTTCTCTTAGAATGTAAATTTCCCTTACAAAAGAGTAACTTCTAGGTTTCTGAGATTTGCCTGTCTGCTGTTTTTTTAATACTCACCAGCTCAAAATAGCACTTATGCCAAAGACGCACGCTTTGGGATGACAACTCTGTTCCTGGTCCTGTGGTGACATTATTTCCATCACAAGACATCACACTTGAACGCTTGTGGTCAGCATATCTAAGCCCTGGAATTTCATTTGAAAACATCCAAAAGTAAAGAACAGATCTCAGAATCTTACTACACATGCTCAGGTGAAGACAGAGTGAAACAAGTATTCTTAACAAATGGAATGTAACAAACGAATATTATATTTTTCCTGAAATTCACCTCTTTGGTGCCTGTTTGGAACTATTTTATAGTGTCTTCCAAGGTGTGTTCAGTAAATGTATTTACCCTTATTGAAAAACCGAGACTTAAATAAGTGAATAATTTTTTCTCATTCACAAATGGGGGGTGGGCGGATGCCAATGGGACCGATCACCCACGACATTTTTTCAACAGGAACCTCCACCCAAAGCACTTCCCATGGGATGTCTGGGCCGAGAGGATCCTTGGGGAGAGGCACAAGGATTTCCTGTAGTGAGGTTCCAGATGATTATTCTCTGCTTTCCTCTCATGTACAATATCTACATGATGAGGATCCAGGCTGCCCCAGGGAAAGAAGCCCAAGGCGTCCTGCCCTGCATACCAATCTGTATCATCCTCGGGACATCCTGACCTGATCCCAGCTGATTCTTATCTAAAGGTACAGGACCACCCAATAGCCAAACCCACCTGCACCAGCCATTTTAATGACTTTTTTGTTTGGGAAGATTAGCCCTGAGCTAACATCTGCTGCCAATCCTCCTCTTTTTTGCTGAGGAACACTGGCCCTGAGCTAACATCTGTGCCCATCATTCTCTACTTTATATGTGGGATGCTGCCACAGCATGGCTTGCCAAGCGGTGCCATGTCTGCACCTGGATCCAAACAAGCAAACCCTGCGCCCCAGAAGCAGAATGTGAGAACTTAACTGCTGCGCCACCGGCCAGCACCACAACTTTTTCACACGATCTTTCCTTTGTCTTGTAAAGAAATAACTCACATACCTATGCCTTATAAGTTTAGCCCTGCCCTCAATCCATTGCAGCTCTTCCTGCCCATGGGTCCTCTCCACACGCTGTTCTCTGAATGAAGGAGCACTACTGCCAGACCTTGAGAGTCCAAGGAATCTTACTTTCGACTTCTCTGCTTCTGGAGTCTGCATCACACAGACAAATCTAATCTTTAACATAGAACCATCCTGGGCCCCCGGGTGGCCCAGTGGTTAAATTCGCGTGCTCCGCTTCAGTGGCCCAGGGTTTCGACAGTTCGAATCCTGGGTGCAGACATGGCACCACTTATCAGGCCATGCTGAGGCGGCTTCCCACATGCCACAACTACAAGGACTCACAACTAAAATATACAACTATGTGGGGGGTGGAGCTTCGGGTAGAAAAAGGAAAAAGAAAATCTTACAAAAAAAAATAGAGCCATCCATGGCTCTGGGGGATAATGATAAACGGTTAACATATTGGGTCTGGTTGAAACGCGCCATGGAGGACCAAGTGTTGATAAGGATCCTGTGAATCAAAGAGGGGAAGTGGCTTTGGGAGGGCGGGGAGGCATCTGAAAATTTACGGATTTACTGTCTGTCCCAGGAAGAGCAGCCTGTGGGGACAGGACTGTGGATTTGAGACCCGGCTCCCCGAATACATGGAAAATTTAGAGAAAACAGGTGCCCCCTGCGGAGAAAGGAGGCCCTGGGGACCCACAGACCGCAGCCCCTCCGCGCACGGACCCCGGAGCCCGAGGCCCGACTGTCCTGCCGACCCTCCCGCGGGCCCCGCACCGTCTGGGACACGCGGGGCTGCGGCCGCACAGCGGCCCAGAGACGCTGCGACCCAAGTCGCCGCGCGCAGGGACCACAGGACGCCCGGGGCCCAGCTGCCGGCCCCGCCCCCACGCTGAGGCCTGAGGGGCCTGAGAGCCCAGCGGCGACACCGCGGACTCGGGGCCGCAGATCCCGGAAGGGACCGCGGGAGGCCGGGACCGCGGGAGGCCGGGCCAGCCCCGCCGCTTCCCACCAGCCCCGCCTGCCGTGTCCTCACCCCGGGGCCGCACACTCACCATTTCCAGGGCTCCTGGGTCCCCCGAGTCCTTCCTACGACCCCCACGGCCAGTGCAGGTCACAGTACGACAAAGGCTCTGGCAGAGACACCAAGACACTTACGGCAGAAGACAGCTCACCCGCAGCGCGGCAGCAGCCGGAAGCCACCTTCACAGGAAGTCCAGCGCACGGCCCCACCCTCCTGCCCCAGAGCCTCCCCTGATTGGACGATCCCAAACGCCCCGCCGCCTCACGCCAGAGTGACAGCAGGGGGGAGGCTGCAGAGCTCAGCCAAACCCGCCTAGGCTGCGGGCTGGAACCAGACTCACCCGGCACGTTTGCATTTAAACGGAACTTTTTCCTGGCCTGGGGCTGCCTCTATTGTTTCCACCTTTGTGAACTCAGGAGTCCAGGTGTGCAGGGGGAAGTACTGACTGAGTTTCAAATGGCGCAAGTGATGCGGGGTCGGTGAGCCGAGGAGTCGAAAGAAAGATTTCTTAGACTCTCAAGATCTGGCAGTAGATAAGAATCAAACCGGATTGAGTAAATGGCAGAAGTCACCGCTCAAATGTTATCTTCAGCTAAAGACAAAGGAGGATTTGGGGGTGGGGGATCAGTTACATGAGGTTGCCAGACAGTAAACAACTTAAGTTCTTGCCTTCCCCATTAAGAGTTTCCAGAGATAAAGCCATCCCCCCTTCCTCCTGGCGCAGAGAGGGAGGCATGGAGATTTCCTTCACAAATGCAATTGTCTCTGATCAAAGGGCAAACAAATTCCACTCCTCGGAGCCTGCTTCTTATCTGTAGTTTTAAAAGTAACCAGCCTAAAAATCCTCATCATAAACTGTTTTAAAATTAAGCAGCCTAAAAATCCTCATCATAAACGCCCCCTGAACCCATTTGGCCCCGAAATCTTTTGGGGATATGGACGATGGTCAGTCTTCTGTAACTACTTCCGGCTGTACAAGGTCGTAGAGCTGTCCCTAAATGGGGCCATGGGTACAGGTAGGAGGTTCAGCAGACCGGAAGGCTGCGCCCGTGGCGTCCAAGGCTGACAAGGTGTACAGATCCTCTGGCGATGAGAGAATTATTTGATGGGAAGTAGTCCAGGAGGTGAAACTTTGTTGACATGTGGAAGACAAACAACGAAATAGACAACAAATTATAATAAGAAATACAAGCAAGATGATTAACCCAATGAATAAGGTTTTGATAGTAGTCCAGAAACCTGGACCTGACCAAGAGTTCAACCAATCATTTAGAGATAGGGTAGGGTCAGACATGGACTTAACTTGGTGGCTCTTATCAGATAGGAAGCCAGAGATATTCCGATGGTAGTCAGGAATATAAACACAACATTCAGTTTTTATAATGGCACAAGTACCCCGTTGCGCTGCTGTCAAGACATCCAGTGCCATTCAGTTTTGGAGGACTGCCTTACGCATTTGGGACTCTTCTATATCAAGCAGCAAAAGCCTATGTTGCGTATCATTTAATGCTTTCATAGTAAATTTGTTTAGAGCTTCCATGTGCCAGATGACACTTTCGATTCCTAATTGGGGAAGGAAAATTGAGGCAAGGTGGTCATACTAGTGGAAGACAGAACAGGTCCAGCGCTGTTGCAGGTTGGGTAGGTTAGCAGGAGGAGATATAGTAAATGTAGTTCTACCTTGCATCCAGACGAAGCCTAGGGTGCATCGTCCAATCCATCTGATGCGGGATCAGTGAGCCGAGGAGTCGAAAGAAAGATTTCTTAGACTCTCAAGATCTGGCAGTAGTGCTCTTTTATTTAGAGAATAGAGATAGAGTAGCATGGGGACAGGACCCATGGGCAGTCAGAGCTTCTGCTGCTCCTGCTGCCGCTGCTGCTGCTGCTGCTGCTGCTGCTGCCCCCGCTGGCATGCGGACAGAGCCCATGGGCAGGCAGAGCTGCTGCTGCTGCCCCCGCTGGCATGGGGACAGGACCCATGGGCAGGCAGAGCTGGTGCGTGGGGACAGGACCCACGGGCAGTCAGAGCTTCTGCTGCTGCTGCTGCTGCTGCTGCTGCTGCTGCTGCTGCCCCCGCTGGCATGGGGACAGGACCCATGGGCAGGCAGAGCTGGTGCGTGGGGACAGGACCCACGGGCAGTCAGAGCTTCTGCTGCTGCTCCGAACTGAGGGTTAGGGCCAAATTTAAGGCATAGGTAAGTGAGTCATCTCTTTATTAGTGCCCGTTTGGTCTGGCCATTTGGCGGTCCCATAACTTTAAGATAAGAATCAAACCGGATTGAGTAAATGGCAGAAGTCACCGCTCAAATATTATCTTCAACTAAAGACAAAGGAGGATTTTGGGGTGAGGGTCAGTTACATGAGGTTGCCAGGCAGTTTCCAGAGATAAGGCCATCCCCCCTTCCTCCTGGCTCAGAGGGGGAGTCATCTCCACAGATAGATGTTTCCCTTAGAAGTGTAAATGTTTTCTCAACAAGGGGGAAGCATCTTCACAGGTAGATGTTTCACTTAGAAATGTAAATGTTTTCCCAACAAGGGGCAAACAAATTCCAGAGAGGGAGGCATGGAGATTTCCTTTACAACTGCAATTGTCTCTGATCAAAAGGGCAAACAAATTCCACTCCTTGGAGCCTGCTTCTTATCTGTAGTTTTAAAAGTAACCAGCCTAAAAATCCTCATCATAAACTGTTTTAAAATTAAGCAGCCTAAAAATCCTCATCACATCCAGGTGGTAGCCAAGGCCATAAGTTGGAGCCACATAACCAATGAGTGCCATTAGGGGCTAACCAATGTATGCTAGGCCATCTATCCCAGTCAGTCCCAAACCAATCAGTATTTCTTAAGGCTATGATATGAGAACACATATAACGGGGAATTTTTCCCATAGGTCTGGTGCTATTAGGCCATGTATCACAGGTATGATTGCTTTGTTCCCAACATAGAGTGGCCTTTTGACTGAGTTGGCCACTAGTAGGAGTGAGCCAAATATATTCGTCCCAAATTTGATATAGTCCATCCTGTGTATAAGTTGGGGACTTTACCTTTGGAACTTTTTGTTTATGACCCACCTGTGACAAGGCAAATCTAGTTAGTATTTGGGCAGTAGTATTGAAGGAAAAGGTTTGATTGTGGCCAGGGTACTCCCAGGTGTCAGAGACGGATGGCCACAAGGAGACATTATGATTAGTAATAGATGAACCTTGTAAAAGAGAAGAGCTAGAATCTAATATCCATGAATGCCTACTATAGCGTTTACTGAAACATAATTTTTTCTCTCTAAAATCCTCATTTTTACAAAAGATAGCCAAATTAAGATAAACTAGTTTGCAAAATAAGTGTAGCTTCAATAAAACTTAGTACAATTATTTACATAAGTGCAGCAAGAATAGCAATTGATTATACAGGCTTTTTAAATCTGCTTTGCTGGAATTTTTATGAGGAATCTCAGATTGAACTGTAAAGGCCTCTCGAGGCCAGAAAAGCCAAGCCAAGGACATGCTGTCAGATTTTGCCTGCAGTACCTCCAGATTTGTGTGGACTCCTCTCTCCTCGAGGTCCTCCAAAATATTTTGAGGTTCCTTGCACCTGCCAGATAAGCAAGCTTCCTTACTTACCGGGTAAGATTGCCAGAATCTCTGTAAACAAGGTACCAGGCCCATGATTCCAAGTGGCTGTATTCCAGAAAGTCCAATCTTTGTTCCTGAAAAGCTGTCTTGTCATATCTGAGCCTGTATGTTTCAAATATGACATTCCAGTCAAAGCCTTGGTAATATAACCAATGTGTCCTGTTATAAGGAGAATAGGTTCTTATTGAACTTATGCAAATAACTATATTGCCACGAAATAACCATGCTCACTCACAAAGAGTTTCTAAATTCTGGAGGGATCAGGTAGGGAGAAAAAGATAAATGTTTTAGTTTTGCTCATAAAGGTATAATTTCACCAAATTGCTATAAGTCATAGTTAGCATAAGAGAAAAGATTTCCTTAAATCTGAGAAAACAAAACATCAAAACTCAGCAATATTTCAAATAGAAGTCATAAAAAATTATAATCATCCTCATCAGTTCACACAGTCCTGTATAATCAATTATTGAGCTTAATCTTCTGTTAGCAGATCGATGAGCTCAGTTTCTGTTAGAATTCTGTAATTTCTTACCCAGTTCAGTTCTATAATCTGAAAGTTTATCAGAACCCTGTAGTTTAGAACCTTTGTGTCAGAATCCTTTCCAGGAATTTTCTCTGAAGATGAAACATATTTGCAAATGCAAAAAGTATCAGAGTAAAACAGCAACTATCTGTAAATGGACAAAAGACTCAAAAGGGCAATTGACAAAGAAACTTGGCTACTTCTGTACAACACTTCAAGATAACAATTGGAATTACGACCATAACCAGGACAGATCAGAATTTTAGGAATGCTATATAATGTTAAGACACTTATATCAATAACATTTACCCACATAATACCACCTAAGAAAGTTTATCATCGCTTATTTGACAATGCTTCCCATGTAGTTTAACATTACAAATAAGCCTAATTAGTTTAGAATCTTCCACCTTAGAGGGAATTTCTCTGTGAAGTCCCAGGGGCTCTCTGAAAATCCCCAGAGAAATTCTCCTCCTCCTACCAGGTTAAAAGAAAGCCTTCCTTCATTCAGGATTTGAATATTTTTGAGGCAGAAGCTTGTCAAAAATATCAAAAGTTTTTAAAATACTTGTTCAAATAGGAAACAACGCTCACTGTTAAACAATGCTCAGGTATCCATTCAAAGTGACAACAGAGACGGTCAAGAGCAAACAACACAGTCAAAAAATTTTAGAAGAGATCTCTTTGTTTCTGAATATAAGAAATTGTTTTAACAAAACATAGATTTTTGTCTTTTAGGTAGAGTTAGAGCAGGCCAAAAGTTCAAGAAAATTATCCTTTGAGAGAAAACCAAATTTTAATTCCTGTACCAGCTTATTTTTAACATTAAAACTCATTCACTTAATTGGATTTACTTTAGTCTACTTGACCAGGCATAAAACTCCTTTCAGAATTTCTCCTTCACAAACCTTCTACAACTTTCTTTTTGCCTTCAGAATTTGTCCCAAAGTCTTTCTTTTTTCCTTTCTAGTACATTAGGACAAATTTATCTTTCTTAACCCATCAAACAAAAATACTTCCATTCTTTGTACCTTCTTTACTGAAAACTTACACCTTACTTTCCTTGAATACAGAGCTGTTTTCCTTATTAATTCCCAGTAGCTTTAATTATATAAGTTAATAACTTTTAACCCTTAACAGACCCTAGTAAACACTGAAAAGGTAAGCAATCTTTTATATCAGCATTCTAAACACTTCATAATTTCTAGAAACACGCCGCTTCACAATAAAACACAAGGCACGCTTTTTAATAGACCCAAAGGCTTTTAGCCTCTTTACAATAAGAAGCCAAAAGTAAATAACTTATATATGTTTAGCAATAATGTTTCAGTTCTATCCAATCCAAAAATGACCCAGATACTCA